ACCGATAAGAACAAGGACTTTGGAATAGCTGAGGATCAGGCACTAATATTTAGAGGAAGAATTTGCGTACCTAAGGATGAAGCCTTGAAAAACAAGATATTGAAAGAAGCTCATTCCACCCCGTACACCATACATCCCGGTGGTACGAAAATATATCGAGATCTTCGAGATACATTTTGGTGGAGAAATATGAAAAAAAGTATAGGGCTGTACGTGCAGAAGTGCATGGTATGTCAACAGGTTAAGGCAGAACACCAAAAACCAGCTGGATTTTTAAATCCACTAGATATACCTGAATGGAAATGGGAAAATATCACGATGGACTTTGTGATTGGATTCCCGAAGTCAGCAAGAGGAAATAATGCTATATGGGTAGTAGTGGATCGACTAACGAAGTCAGCTCATTTTCTTCCAGTGAAAATGAAGTTTAGACCAATTGGCACAGTTGTACATTAAAGAGGTTGTGAGACTACACGGTGTACCTATATCCATTGTGCCTGACACAGACCCAAGGTTCACGTCCAAATTTTGGAAAAGTCTACAAGGAGCTATGGGAACGAAGCTGAACTTTAGTACAGCATATCACCCTCAGTCCGATGATTAGTCTGAAAGGACCATCCAAACTTTGGAAGACATGCTGAGAACATGTGTTTTGGATCTAGGAGGTAATTGGGAGTCATACTTACCTCTAATAGAGTTCGCTTATAATAACAGTTTCCAAACAATTATTGGAATGGCACCATACGAAGCTCTCTATGGTAGAAGATGTAGATCCCCTATTCATTGGGATGAAGTCAGAGAGAAGAGAGTTTTAGGACCAGAAATAGTTGAAAGGACGATCGAGGTAATCGATAAGATCCATGCAAGAATAAAGGCAGCACAAGATCGACAAAAGAGCTATACAGATACAAGGAGGAAGGATTTAGAATTCCAAGTTGGGGATAAAATGTTTTTGAAAGTAGCACCAATGAAAGGTGTACTTAGATTTGGAAAGAAAAGCAAGCTACGACCCTGGTATATCGGACCTTTCGAGATACTTGATAGAGTCGAAAATGTGGCTTACCGACTAGCTTTGCCACTTGAATTATCGGCAGTGCACAATGGGTTCCATATATCGATGATAAAGAAGTATGTACATGATTCTAATCATGTAGTGAGTTATCAAACCTTGAAGGTATAGAAAGATTTGTCGTACGAGGAACTACTGATCAAGATATTGGATCGAAAAGTGCATAAACTAAGGAATAAAGAGATTCAGCTGGTTAAGATACAGTGGAATCATCACGGCGTAGAAGAAGCCACTTGAGAAAAAGAAGAAGAAGCCAAAGACAAGTATCCAACACTATTCGCCCAATCAGAAGGTAAATTTCGAGGACAAAATTTTAATTAAGGTGTGGGGGATGTAGAACCCCAAATAATTCTAGACACCATAGTGGCACTAAGATATGAATATTGGATGACTAAAATATACTTCAGATATTTAGTCTCATTTGAGACCCATTTTCGACATAGGAAACATTCGATTTGGGAAATGATATCTAAATAAAAGTTGTAGCTCTTTGAGTTATCTTTCCAACGCACTTTGAATTACCTCAATTGGATATCAGGAGAAGAAGTTATGATCAAAACACTAAAAGTCGTGCAGTGTCAACCGGACTACAACCGGTCGACCGAAACTGCCTGAAATGAAAATTCTCGTTTTTCTCTAGAATTTAAATATTTATTTTCATCAATTATTTTCTCAAAGAGGGCCACCCACATTTTTGACAATAAAAACTCCACTAAATTGAAGCATTTAACCTCAAACTTAAATGGCACCCATGTTTTTTCTATTAAATGAAATTTGACCCTTCATTTGCTTTAAGTTATGGGATATTTACCTATAAATAGAGACCTCATTTCACTCATTTTTTTCTCACACCAAAAGCAAGAGCTTTTACATACTAAAAAAAGAGTTTCTAAGAGAGAAAAAGAGAGGGAGGAAAACTATTTTTCCTAGAAGTTTAAGAAGTGTTTTCAAGCATCAATTCTCAACGATTTTCAAACATCCAAGGAGTGCATTTCTTTCAACGTCCAAGTTTCATCGAATTTTTCAATCCAAGTTTTCAAAGTTTCAAAAGCATCAATCAAGGTAGGTAGAGGTGCAATGTGTTTAATCGTGTTAAGTTATAAGTTTCGATTCATGTTAATGTTTGTATGTCAAATGGTACTCCGGTTCGGCATATCCCTCTATGTTAATGGTTGTATGTCAAATGGTACTCCGGTACGACATACCCCTCTATGTTGAAGAAATGTTCGTATGTCAAATGGTGCCCTCGGGTACGGCATACCCCTTCATGTCAAATGGTGCCTCCGAGTACGGCATGTATGAAAAGTTATAAAGTTAATGTTTTGAAATGTATAGCTTGATCACAAATGCACCTATGACACCTATTGAGTTTTTCAACTCACGGGTTTAATCCCATCTCTACAGACTAAAGGAATTCTACCTCGGGCATGGATGAAGGAGAAGATGGAGAGTGATGCAACGAGCCCATGGAAATCCGGTGAATAAGTGATTTGGATTTATTTTTATGAAATATTTTTCAATGTTATTTCTTTAAAGTTTTGAATAACGCAGAATGCGAGAACAAGTTATGTTAACTTCAAATAAATTACATTTTGTTGTTTTGAAAAATGATTCAGTATTTTTGTTTAAAGTATTTGAAATATTGTTATTTAAATTATTATCCGAAGATGTAAGCTTCCGCTAAAACGTATACACTTGTTACTGAACCACCGGTTAAGCTAAGTAAAGTAAGTAGCGTTCCGGTCCACTAGGGGTCGGGACGTTACAAAATCCACCTCTGCCAGTCCAAGGTAAACGCATAAATGAAGCCAACTGAGAATTCTGACCATCTATAGAAGAGTCTCTTGACTACTCTAGAAGAGGCCAATAAGGAAAAAGTGGAGCTGAAGGCCAAAGTGGAGAGGCTCGCTGCCGAGGCCGTAGTTTGAAGCAGCAATTTAAGGGAGCAGGTACTGCGGCTGTCGAAGAATACATTGCCCATTTTCATGAAACAATTGAGTAAGACGGCCTGGGGATATATTGGAGGGGGGTTGCTTACAGTGAGGTCTTTAAGAGGCTTGTAGAACTTCATCCTGAGCTGGATTTGACTCCCATCAGGGATGAGTTTATTCCAGCAGAACCTTCCACCCCCACTGACGAAGAAGTGCCCGGTGTAGAGGACGTAGATTAGGGCTTTATTTTTGTAATCCTTATATGGCCGAAGGCGAAAATATGTAGCCCTAATTCTTTGAAAAAGTTTTGTTCGTTCCGAACTTGCTTTGCTTCACCGCTTATAATTTTCCAAGTTTGTGACATGACTTAAGTAATTTGTTGTATATTTAATTGTATCATATAAATATTAACTTTGAGAAGACTATGGGCTTGCCATAGATGAACTGACCTAAGTAATTTGCAGTATATGGGCTTGTCATATAAATCTAACTTGGAGAAAACTATGGGCTCACCATAAACAAATTACTTAGCCGGTTCGCATTGTATGAATTTGTCATATAAATTTAACTTGGAGAAAACTATAGACTTTCCATAGACAAACTGACTTAAGTGATTTGCAGTATATGAGCTTATTATATAAATTTAACTAGGAGAAAACTACGGGCTCGCCATAGAGAAATTACTTAACCGATTTGCAGTCTATGAATTTGTCATATAAATTTAACTTGGAGAAAAGTATGGGTTTGCCATAGACGAACTGACTTAAGTAATTTGTAGTATATGAGCTTGTCATATAAATTTAACTTGGAGAAAACTATGGGCTCGCCATAGATAAATTACTTAACCGGTTCGCAATATATGAATTTGTCATATAAATTTAACTTGGGAAAACTATGGGCTCGCCATAGACGAACCGACTTAAGTAATTTGCAATATATGAGCTTGTCATATAAATTTAACTTGAAGAAAACTATGGGCTCGCCATGGACAAATTACTTAACCGGTTCGCAGTATATGAATTTGTCATATAAATTTAACTTGGAGAAAATTATGGGATCACCATAGATGAAGTAACTTAAGTAATTTGCAGTATATGAGCTTGTCATATAAATTTAACCTGGAGAAAATTATGGGCTCGCGATAAACAAATTACTTAACCGATTCGCAGTATATGAATTTGTCATATAAATTTAACTTGGAGAAAACTATGGGCTCACCATAGAGAAATTACTTAACCGATTCGCAGTATATGACTTATATCATATAAATAACAATTCATCGTTGAATGAGTCATTTGCGCAGCGTTAAGAAAAATAGTGCATTTCATTGATGGTGAGAAGCATACAAAAGTTGGACATTACAAGAGAATAGTGTTGGTCTTATCATTGATAGTACATTCGCAGATGTTCAACATTCCATGGATTGGGCTGTTTCTTCCGGCTTAGATCTTCTATCCTGAATGTCCCTGGTCGGACTTCATTGGTGATACGGTGGGGACCTTCCCAGTTTGGCCCCAGCTTTCCAACGCCAGGTTCTTTTGAGGACTGGAAAACCTTTCTCAACACAAGATCTCCCTGGCGGAACGGCTTCTTCTTCACCCTAGCATTGTAGTACTTGGCCATTTTCCATTGATAAGAAGCCAACTTGATTTGAGAGTTGTCTCTCCTCTCTATGAGAAAATCCAGTTCATAGCACCGAATCTCCTCATTTGATATCTCATTGAAGTGTAGATGCCTTGGTGATGGTAGTCCTACTTCCATAGGACTCATAGCTTCAGCTCCATAGGCCATAGAAAATGGGGTCTTCCCCATTGCAGTCCTGCTTGTGGTACAAATAGCCCACAATACATGAGAGAGCTCATCCACCAAGCCCCCTTCGACGCGTCGAGCTTCTTTTTCAAGATGCCTTTAATGGTCTTGTTTACCACTTCCACCTGACCGTTAGCTTGAGGGTAGTGAGGGGAGGAGAAATGCTTCTTAATCCCTAACTCATCACATAATTATCTGACCTTCTTGTTATAAAATTGTTTGCCGTTGTCCGAAACAATTGAATGGGGGATTTTGAATCTGCAGATAATGTTTTTCCAGATAAATTTAGAGGAATTGGCCTCGGTGATTTTGTCGAAGGGTTCGACTTTGACCCATTTTGTGAAGTAGTCAATGGCAACTACAGCATGGTTGGCACCTCCTCTTTCCTTTGGGAGAGGACCAATAAGATGGATACCCCATTTGGCGAATGGCCAAGGGCTGGTCACAAGGCGGTTATCTCTATATTGATGAAAAACGCTAACATTTATCACATTTCTTGACAAACTTCACTGCTTCTTTCCTCAAGGTCGGCCAATAGTATCCTTGTCTTAATACCTTGTGTGCCAATTTCGATCCGGCAATATGGTTCCCACAAATCCCTTCGTAGATTTTCCGCAGCACATATTCAGTCTCGCTCTCACCTGTGCGCCGTAGGAGGGGCAATGAAAATCCCCTTTTGTAAAGTACACCATCTTGAAGTATGTAGTGGGCGACCTTGCGTCTTAGTTTGCCAGCTTCTTCTTTATCTTCTAAAAGTGTCCGTCCTTGAGATAGTCCATAAACAGTTGCATCCATAGAGGGATTCCTTCAATCCACATAACCTCGGCTCCCTTGGATATAGAGGGGTTAGAGAGGTGTTCTATGGGGACAACCTTGAGTAGTTCAAAATCTTTGTTGTTAGCCAACTTTGACAAGGCATCGACACTCACGTTTTTGGTTCTAATGATCTGGTTTAGCTCGAATCCTTCGAAGCATGGGATGAGTTCCTTTACTTTTTTCAAGTAAGAGGCTATACTCTTGTCCCTCGCGGTGAAATCGGCTCTAACTTGGCTGACCACCAATTGTGAGTCGTAACTAACCACTAAACTTTTGATCTGCATATCTTTAGAGAGCCTAAGATCAGCTAGCCATGCCTCAAACTCCGCAGCATTGTTAGAGGCTTGGAAACCGAACCTGATGGCACATTTGAGCTTGTGTCCTTCGAGGATTATCAAAATTACTCCAGTACCCGAGCCTGTTTCACCGGAGAACCCATCAATGAAAAGGCTCCAGAGTGGGGGGCCGAAGGTTTTGCATCCATGCTATCATCTTGAACTTCAGTGAACACCATAATGAAATCTGCTAGCGCATGTCCCTTTACTGAAACTCTAGGCTAGTATGAGATGTCAAACTCACTCAATTCTATTGCCCATTTCATCAACCTACCCGATGCGTTTGGCTTCTATAATATTTTCTTAAGCGACAGGCTCGTCAGGACTCGTACACTGTGGGGCTCAAAATATGGTCTTAATTTTTTGGAGCCCGTTATCAATGAAAAAGCAAGCTTTTCCATATCACTGTATCTGGACTCAGCTAGTGACAGGGCCTTGCTCACATAATAAACCGGCAGTTGTGTTCCATCTTCTTTCCTTATGAGAACTGAACTTACAACTTCTGTCGAGACATCCAAGTACAGTATAAGGGCTTTTCCTTCTTTTGGTTTAAAGAGGAGGGGAGCTACCCCCAAGTGCTCCTTCAGCCCTTGGAGAGCCGCTTCACACTCCTCATTCCATTAGATCCTTTGAGGACTTTGAAAAATGGGAGGCATTTGTCTGTTGCCTTTGAGATAAATCGACTTAAAGCGACAAGTCGACCTGTCAAGTTTTGCACCTCCTTGGGCTTTAAAGGGGATCTCATGTTTAGCAGGGCTCTAATTTTATCTGGGTTTGCTTCGATCTCTCGTTGGTTAACCATGTAACCCAAAAATTTTCCTAAGACTACGCCAAAAGTGCACTTCAATGGTTCAACTTCATCCAGTACTTCCTTAATATCTCGATAGCTTCTTTCAAGTGTTCAGTGTGATCGATGGCCCTCAAACTTTTTACAAGCATGTCATCGACATATACTTCCATCATCTTTTCAAGGAGATTGGAGAACGTTGCATTAACTAGCCTTTGGTATGTGGCTCCAGCATTCTTCAGGCCTAAGGTTATTACTTTGGTTGTGCCCTGAATATGCGTCCATGAAACTTAGTAACTCGTGGCTTACAGTGGCGTCTACGAGCTAATCGATTCTGGGGAGTGGGAAACTATCTATTGACACTCTTGTCTAAGGTTTAAAAAGTCTATGTAGATTCTCTATTCACCATTATGTTTCTTTACCAAGACTGGATTTGATATCTATTTTGGGTAGACTACCTCCCTGATGAACCCATTATTTTTCAGTTTTTGAATCTCTTCTTTCAGGGCTTCATATCGTTCCGAGTTCAAGGCCCTTCACTTCTGCCAATGGAGAGTGAACTTGGGGTCGACATTGAGGGAGTGGCAGTTGATCTTGGGATCAATGCCCACCATATCATCGTGTTTCTAGGCAAAGATATCCAAGTTATCTAGGAGGAAGTTCATTAACTTCTGCTTGTCTCTCCCAAGCCCAACTCTTTCCTCACCAAGAGTGTCTTTGTGGGATCTGTGGGATCTACTGCAAAGGTCTCCAATTCTTCAACCAGGGCAGCTTCTAATTCTGCCTCTATTACCCTAAGGTCTAGGATTACCTCTATCGCTCCCCGTTCGGGAGTGGTTCCTTCTGTGATGGTATCTATCATTTCGACGTCCCCTTCTTCTTCAGGGCTCGACCCTTCTTCAGGTGTGCTGAGCATTTCTGTGTCCAGGAGGATCATGTTCATATTTCGAGGTTCAGACTTTCGTAGAGAACTAAGGTAGCATTTCCTCAATCCTACCTGATAACCTCGAACCGTTGCAATACTTTGTTCAGTTGGAAATTTCATGCATAGATGGTGGATAGATATTACCGCCCAGAGTTCCTTCAATGCGGGTCGTCCTAAAACTCCATGGTACGTCAACTGGTGGTCCACTACCAAGAATTCCATTAAGTGGTGAGCCGTTAATGGGGGTGTCTCCATCTCCACAGCCAGTGTTACCCTCCATCTGCGAATGTTGATGTCTCCTATAAAACCGTATAAGGCGTCTGTTATTGGGGTCAAATCGTGGGTAATCTGCATCTTATGCTGTCTCCAAACAAGATGTTGAACGAACTCCTGTTGTCAACGAGCATGCGACTTAGGCCGTTCCTGGCGACAATGGCTCGCACCACCAAAGCGTCGTAATGGGGGTAGTGTTTGGGTGAACGAAATTAGGGGAGTAGTGTGGGCTCTACGCGGGTTACTGTTAACCAAGTAGCTTGTCATTGGGGGGTCTTTAGCTTCCCTGGCGTAGTTTTTTGGGCGTTTCTGGATTTGCTTCCCACATGAGGGCCTCCAACTACGGTGTCGATTTCTCTGATGGGTTCATTTTCTGCCCCGATGCGTGGCTTCCTTCTTTACCTCCAAGTATCTCTAGGCCTTCTCCTTTCTTCATCATCAAGTTGTCCTGGAGACTATCTTTGAGTCCTCTTCGCTTCTACTCGCTAAGACCCTTGCTCTTGTCTTCTCTGAGGGGTCTCTCCTGTTTCTACAATCGGTCTCCCTATCACCATACAGGTTCAACTGTTCTTCGTTGTGGAGTTTTGTCAAGCAATTTGTGGTGCTATAACCGTGGGTCCGATGATATGCACAATATGGTTTGCTCCTAAACTCATAGCCTTTCCTTCAACCTCTTTCCCTTGGTTGATTTGTTTGCATTTGTACATCGGGTCCAACTTCATTGTAGGCCAGGGATGGTACCGCATTTAATATAGAGGTTGCTAGACCTTGACCTGGAGTGGGGATAATTGTCTGCCCTGCCTGGGTCCATTTCTAGGTTACCAAGAATGATATTGGGCCTCGCCTCTGCCTCTGTGGGGGTGGAAGCCCAAAAGAGGTTCAGTTGCGATGGTTAATTAATTCGTCATTAACTATTTCACTCCTTATCATTTCCACCAGAACATCATAAGTGGTCGGATTCTTGTTTCGTATATCCCTCCAAAAAAGGTGTTCATGTTGAGGCCTCCTCACAAGGTGGATAGAGCCTCTCTGTCCATTACTTATTCACAGTAGGTCATTTCGTCCGTGAATTTTGTTAAGTAGCTCTTTATAGTTTCTCCAGCCTGCTGCCTCATGTCCTGGAGCCTTTGGATAGGGGCTTCGCCTTCTTTTCTTGCTAAGTATTGGTTCAAGAATGTTTTCTTCAGGTCAGGCCAACTTCTAATACTGCCAGCTGGGAGGTGACTATACCAAATTTCAGCCGCTCCTATTCGGATCAAGTGAAAAGCTCTACATTTCAGCACTGGCGAGGCTCCTCTGAGAGATATGTGGGTCATGTAGTTGTTTAGGTATTTCATCTGATCCCCATTCCCTTCATATTTGGGTATTTTCGGGGAGACAAAGTGGCTTGGCACTTCAGCATTCCTCAATTTTCGCGAAAATGGGAGGCTATCGCCATCATCATCCAGCTCGAAAGATCTACAGAGGCAGTCCGATTCACCCACCTCCACCTGGGACGTTTCGACTTGGTTTTGTAAGTTTGTAGTGTCCCTTCTTTCCCGCCTATTTCTAGGCAGCTTGACCTCCTGGGGTTCGTACGCTTGGGCGTAATTCGGCTGCCTCTGGGTGGGTTTTGATTGTTGTGGCTTAATTCTAGGCCTCGTCGGACCGATCCGGTCAAAGACACTGGTGGATCTATGTGTTCCCTGCTTATGGGAATACTCGGGAAAAAAGTTTTCTTCCTGTGGCAAGTTACCTTCGGTTCCGGCCAGAACATAACTGGAGGTCATATCCATGCCTACCCACTCTTACTTAGGCTTCGTTCTTTCATGTTTTCCTGGGCGTGGGTCTCATCATGAGTTTCCTGATGGAAACGTTCTTAGTGAAGAACCTGGTATCCTGCCTATCCTTGCATCTGCATAAGCAATTGTTGCATTGCAGCATTCTGTTGGGCGACGTCTCTCATGTTAGCTGCCATTTCTTGCACTTCTCTCGCCAGACACGCAGTGGTCTCGCCTCGTCTGTGTTGGTGGTGGCGTCGGCAGGTGGTGACATTAGTATGGAGGACCTCTTCTTCAGAAGCTTCCCGTTGGTGTCTCCTACTGTGGGAGCCATAACGACTACAACTCATGGGGTGTTGATGATTGCACTCAGGGTGATGATTTCAAATATGTTGCTTAGGATGTTCCCTTTCTCCCTGCCGTTCTTTTTCAAGAAACTGGACCTTTCTTCAAGGTCTGGCCGGAGAAAACACGTGTTCCAAACTGGGTTCTACCACCGGGATGTTCGTGGTTAGAATGTGTGGTTTCCTATAGATGGTGCCAATCTGTTGACCTCAAAAAGTATACCTCCGGGTGTCCAATAGATCTCAAGACCTCTCACGTCCTAACTAGCTGTTTTCCTACACACTAAGACACACCGTTAGGCACACATGGCCTTCTCTGGTGGGGATGAAGTTGGCCACGTGTATTCCGACGGTCAAGTCAATTGGGGGGAAGATATATATGAGTGTGGGAGAGCTTTTAAAGTGAGCCTTTAATGTAAAATAAAGGGGGTCGGAGTTATAAGTAAATAATAGAGAGAGCAAAGCAGTAGTATCAAAGTCTAAACTTGTATTACCTATCAATGAAACTGAGTGTGAGCTTTTATAGTGTGGGATAGTGAGTGGGGACCGTCAGATGAGAAGACAAGTGGGCTCATCCATTTGGGCACAGCCTTTCATCATGGGAATCAATCATAAGACTTGAATGGTAATATCAACTTGCCTTTCTGAATTCATGCTTGCGGCCATAGATTCAAACGAACAGGTTAGGGTGGTGGCGGTGTTAGAGAGTAGTCAAATCAGTCCTGTCACTAGAGTTGATTTAGGAGATCCTCTGTCAATCAACCACTTTACTAATCTCGTTTCTTTCACCTAGGTCCCTATGGGACGGTTCACCTCCACAGGTTCGGGTGTGTTGGTTCAGATAGGGATGAGTTCGATTAAGGGCTTCATCCATTCGGTTCGTTATCCCATGGATTCGACCGATAAAAGGTACGGAGTGCCTACGGTTTCGCATGCCACGTGGCCTGTTTTGGGCCCTTGTTGGGAAAGGGGTATAACAAGGCTCTCCAAAGCTTCAAACTTTAGAAATAACAAATAAAAAATAAGAAAAACTCATTTTACCCATTAAATGCTCCCCGCATCATTATATTATTTTAACCAGTCAAGATAACACCATCAATCATATCTTTAATGAGTAAAACTCATTTTTTTACTTATTCTCAAATGATCATTTGTTACTTCAAATATACCAATAAAAACAAAATTAAGCTTCCCTTTCACACATGTAAAGATGGTTTAAGAAAATCAAACATGAACAATAATTACACAAAATATTCCAAGGTCGCTCTGGCAACTTCTACTTAACCAAGCAAATTTATCTACAGCTAACCGAGCAACCGGAAGCAATAAGTCGAACAGAGATAATCGGGTGTTTAACTGTTAGGAGTGGAAATCTTGTCTTAAGTAAAGGCAAAATAACAAAATATTAGAACCCCCCCCCCAAATCCACTGAAAGCCAAACATCAAATTTCACAGAGTTTAAATCAAATTATTTATTTATTTATTTTGAATCCAAGATGAATTGAACCCATAATTTTAGATGATAAATCAAATAATCAAAACCCTAAACTCTAAACCTAAATAATCGAGAAATGCCAGGACTATGAATTGATTGGCAGAGAATCGAGAAAGCCCAGCAAACAAATCAATGGATTTCGTGAAACAGAGCGTCCAATGGGGAAGGAAAGGTTGAAGAAATCCCGACCGACTTATGAGAGAGAGAATATGGATGAG